ATTTACTTTCCCATTGTAGACACTTTTCTCCGCGCTCTTCCTCCCTCCCCGAGCTTATGCAAATCCCCCGTAAGGCGTTTAATGCGCCGTGTGTGTCAATAGTGCCCAAATCTTCACGACAGCATTAGGCTTCATGCATGCCCCGACTGATTAAGAGGGGTGGCGGGGCCAGCCTGGCCGCCCAAACCCCCTTTCAGCCCCCGCCATGGGGCCAGGGAAGGGGCCCCTGTGCTGGGAGCTGCATTTCTTTAGAGAAAAGGCTGGAGCTGAAAGTAGCTCTTTTCTTTTGCAGGGTGGAGCGTGAATAGGGAGCGCGGGGCTGCCCTGTCTGCCGCTGTTTGCTGCCCTGTCGCTCAGCTTTCAGGGGGTTTGGAGGTGTTAAACTGGGGGAGGGGGGATGTCTGTGGGTGGGATGTGAGTGGAGGGGGAAGAGGAAAGTGGTGAAATAACCCGTGAGCCAATACCAGCGTTGATTTGTGTGCACAACTCCTGCCCATGTGGCAGTGGGTGCATCACACCTGGATGCCCACCTGGCCCCGGAGCCCTGTGGGAATGGCTTTGGCATCACCAGCAGGAAAAGCAGGGTTTTTTCCCATTTATTGTGCCACCAGGAGCTGAGGTCAGCTCAGCCCATCCCCATGCCCAGCCTCCCTTGCGCTGCTGGTTTGTTTTCTGGGACAGCCTGGCTTGTTGTGCTCTTGTTGGCCTTGTTTTTTGTGGGGTGAGGGGGGTTTAACAGCCTTCATGGCCATGGAGTCTGATGTCCCCAGTGACTGGGGGAGAAGCCTGGAGCCCCAGCTCTGGGGGATGTTATTGCCCCACTCACCTTGGTGGAGCGTTCACTCTGAAACCTTCTGGCAGCTGCTTGGACACTGGGGAAGGAGGAACATGGGGAGGAGGTCATCAGCTTGTGGTACCACAGTGGGAATGGTGAAAAGAGCTGTCCTGTAATTCCTGGTTTGCCTGTTGTCTGAAGGTTTTGTGGCTGCTGGTGAGGCCCTTTGAGAGCCCAGCATGGGGGAAAACCCCCATCCAAGGGTCACCATTTTCTCCTTCCAGTGCAAAATCTCTCCCAGCCTGGGTCTGTAAATAGGCCGGTGAGTGGGAGTGAGCTGAACCGGCCCTTCCCTGTGTTGTTTCCTCTACACCCACCACTGATTGTCTCCTTTTTTACCGTGTCCTGCCGCTCTGCCTCTGCGTGTAGCAATTATGCAAAGTTGCAATCAAGGATATGAATTAGGAGCTCATCTTGGATTAATTAGTGATGGATGCAAATCTGTTCCAACAAAGAGGAGGAAGGGGAATGCAAAGGCCATGGGTATCCTCTCAGGGTTTCTCCAGCTCTCCCAGGCTGGTTTCAGGGCAGGAGGGATGCACAGAGTAATGCCTTGAAGGAGAACTGGGGCATCCGCGTGGAAGAATTTCATTCTTGGCCTTGGGAGGAGGGCTGGGTGCCCCAAAGCTGATGCTCAGCTCAGCCCCTGCGTCTCCCTGGAGCTTTTAAACTCAGAGCTTTGGGTTTAGAGCGTCTCCTCCCGCCCCAGTTCTGCTGCAAAGCTTGGGGGAAAACCATTTAATCCCTGCGGCCTCCAGTGCTGAGCTCCCGCCAGCACCGGGGATTTCTGTTCGCCTGCAATCGGATTGTGACAAACCCCTCCACTTGCATTGAACAAATTCCCTGGCTACTCCCCGCTCCTTGCAGGCCCCAATAATCCCCCAAGTGTGACTCTGGCCAAGAGGCAACATCCCTGATTAATCCCCGCCGTCTCCGTGCAAAGCCGCTGCTGCCGAGGACGCTCCCGGTGCCGGCACGACACGCTCGGCCGGCGTTGGGAGCAGACCCTGGGGAAGGATGCGAAGGATGCGATGCTATTTAGAGGAGCTTTTCCAAGAGGGGATTTCAGGCTTAAGACCATCCTTCTCTTCCCATGAAGCGGAAAAGATGGATGTGCAGCACTCCTGGGAGCACTGAGCACAGGGGAGTGGGAGGGGGAGCTCAGATGTTTCATCCCTTTGCCTGGTCCCCTCTGCTCAGCAGTCACAGGAACAGTGTCACCCACCCTGGCTGGTGCAGAGGGGACATTGGGCATGGAACGCTCAGGGCACCCTAGCAAGGTGAGCACAGCTTGGTTAAGGAGCTCCTTAACCAAGGGATGGCTCGTGGCTGTGTCCACAGGGATTGGGACAGCAGGAACAGCCCCTTCCTGGGGTCTTCAAGGGTTTAAGGTTTTTGGCACTGTGGTGGGACCTTTCAGGTGTGCAAACATCTGAAAGGTCTCTCCTTCCTCTCACCTCTGCACCAGCAACGATTAGCAACATTTGACTTCAGTGGAAAGGCAAGGAAAAAAAATCAATACAGGGCATTTCTGGAGATCATCCTAATCCGGCGTCTCGGAGCCAAGTGAATCAGCAGCTCCTTATTCTGCCATTGGGATTAGTCAGTGTTGGTTCAGGCTCCAGGAGAATGAGGTGAGGCTCTGCATAACAAGAAGCCGTGGAGAGGTGGCCACAGGGTGTTGGTTGGTTCATGGAGCCAAGCAAATCCCTCCTCATAATCCTGCAAACACTGTGGGGATGCTCCTGCTCGTGCTGGGAGCCACGGGACAGCAGAGAGAGGCAGGAAAAGGGGAGAAGGCAAAAATACCTCTTAAAATCTGCCGTGTGGGTGAAGGATGTGCTGTGGATGTTGGATGTGAGGTGCAGGGGTAGACTCCAGGATGGGGCTGTGTGTGTGTGGGAATGTCCCTCCTGCCACGGGGACCAGGAAGACTGGGACCAGGAGCATCATGCCTGGCTGGTTTTCCTGGCTGTTAAAGTGGGTCAAGCAGAAACCCAAGGAGCATCCAAGCTCACCAAACTCGAGCCAGCTATATGGGAGCTGAATTATTCAGGGCCAGCTTAAAAAATTGAAGAGCCCAGCAAAACTCCCAGAGAGCCCAGCCCATGGAACCCCCCATGGCCCTGTTGGGCAGAGGCAGCTCAGCCTGCCTATGCCCTGGGGGCACCTTGGGCACTTTGGGATAGGGGACAGCGTTGTTTGGGTCTAGCACAACACTACCCTTGGGAGTGGGGAAAGCAGAGAGAAAGCACTCAGGGAAGTTCAGATGGATAGATCTTCCTATGGTCCCCCACAGCCCTCCAAGCTGTAACAGTTTCCTCAGGTACTCCAGTATTTGTCACACCTACAGGAGAAAGAACTCAAAGGAAACCCCTTTGTCCCCCAAAATGAGGATCTCTTGATCATGTAATTTTAGACAGGATGTTAAAAATCAGGGGCTTGTCCTTTGCCACAAAGTGTTTGGTCACAGCAAGTCCCCATGGCTCGGAGAACACCACATCCATTTGGGAGCTGAGACGTCCCCTCAGCTCAGCTGCTTTTAAGGGACCCCCCCGGTTCTATTCCTGGGGTTTTCGGATGGGGAAAACCTGCTCCTGGGAAGAATCCCTGTGGTGAGTAATGCTTCCTGGCGAGTGCCGGGAAAAGGCGGGTGCACATATGCTGCAGCTCATCCTGCTCTTTTCATGGAGCATTCACACTGTCTGGGTGCCAACCAGCAGCAGCCACGGCCAGGGAACCCCCATCGCAGTTACTCCCTTTTCTTATGTTTCCGAGGCACCTGGAAGGGGATGATGGGGTCTGGTGTAGGGCAAGGGGATGTATCCCAAAGGGAGTGAGGTGCTTGGAGGTTTTACAGAGACATTATGAAATGAGAGCTGAGCAAACCCAGTCCAAGCAAGCAGCCCAAAAAATCCCCCCTTGCACCAGCGCACGGAGCTGTGCAGGTGCTTAGCCCAGAGGGGAGTGGGGAAGCCTGAGCCCTGGCTCCGTGCAGAGCTCGACGCAGCAGCCGGGTGTGCTCTGAGCCAAAATCTGGCTATTTCAGCCAAGGAGGAAAGATGGAAATTTCCACCTGGCCTGTTTTCCTCCCTGCGAAGATATTGCAGGAGACCCTTTGCTCAGCCCCCCTCCCGGCAGAAGGGCTGAGGTGGCACAGGCGGTTTTGTCTCTAATTTCCTCTGGCGTGAGCAGCAGCAGCGGCAGCAGCACATCCCGCCGGCCCCGCGCTGATTTACACAACGCAGCATTTATTGACTGCGAGGAGATTGTAATTCACAGCCCGGCGCGGTGCAGTCACGGTGTGCGAGCAGGGACGGCTCCTCTCCTCCTTCCCGCTGCCTCCATCCTTCCGTGCTCTAGGTGGGGAGAGCACAGCAGGGCCTGGTCCCCCAGGGCTCTCACCCAGTTCAGAGGGACACCTGCTGTGTCCCTCCCTGGGAGAAAACACAATGGCATCAAATCCCAGTGATGGATCCTGCAGCCTTGGCCAGGTCACCCAACCCAGGAGGTGTGGGGACACCCACGGGGTCCCTTCCTGGAGCACCCACCTTGGGGACACACATCCTTTCCCTGGACAGAAATCCCCACTGCCCCATGCTGCTGATTCCCTTCCTCCTCTGCTCCCATCCTCTGGTTATGCTGGAGAACAGAGACCTCCCAGTTGCTTCTTCAAAAAGCTGGGGGATTGTTGTGTTCTGCTATCCAGAGTTGCAATCCACCCATCCATCCATCCATCCTGCTGACCCATTCAGCCCCTCTTACGCCAAAACCCTTTGCAGGGCAGGAATGATCCTGTCCCTGCAGCGCTCGTGCCCTGAATGGAATTACCGGGGCTTTCTTCCTAATTAATCTCTCTTTGCAATTAGCTCCGGGCCTCTGAAATCCCCCTAAGGGACCCATAGGCTGCACCTACAGGCGGTACCTATAAACGGTACCTATAGGCGGTACCTACAGGCGGTGCCTATAGACAGGGGGGTATGGGCGTGCTCCGCTCATCGGGAAAGCCTCTCCCGCGGCCCCGGGGCCGGTGTGGGGGCTCGGGGGAGGAGCGGGGGGCCGGGCGGGGGCGGGCGGGAGGCAGAGCCGGGGGGAGGCAGAGACGGGGCCGCCCCCGCTCCTCGCCGCCGCCGCCGCCGCACTCGATCCGGCCCCCTCCCGGCGGAGGCTCCGGGATGGCGGGGCCGGGGGCCGGCGGCCGCCGGGGCTGAGCGGGGCGGGCCAGCGCCGCTGCCGCAGAGCCGCCGCGGCGGAGCGAGGTAAGAACCGCCGCGACCTGTTGGGGGGTTCGGCCGGGACCGCCCGGGAGCGGGGGGAGAGCAGGGGGAGCCGCCGCCCCCCGAGGCCCTGCCTGCCCTGGCCCCTCCGAGCATCCTCCCCTGGCCCCCCACGAGCATCCTCCGGGCGCGGCCGGGGCCGGGATCCCCGCGCTCCCTCCCCGGCCAGGAGCTCCTCCTTCAGCCCGGGGGACGGGGGTTACTGAAAGAACCCCGTTTGTGGCAACTTCGCCGCTGGCAAGATGTCGGAGACCCTTTTGGCAGGGCGAAGATCGCTTCCCTGCCCTCATGGGGGGGTCTGCGGTGCCCGGGGGTCACCCAGAGCAGCGGGGCAGGGGCTCCCCCCGGGTTAGACCTCCGACTCGTGCCCTTGACGGAGAAACCCCCCCCCGCTCGCACTCTGGGTGCAGAGGGGCGGCAGGGTGTAAATCCAGAGGGGCAGATGGATATAAATCCAACGGGAAGAGAAAATCCAATTCACAGCGGCGCAGGGATGCTCGGGGGAGCGAGGCGGAGTGTGCCGGAGGCTGGTCCAGCTCCACGGCTGGGCAGCGCATCCCGCATCCTGCTCTGGTCCTGGCCCCGGGAAGTTTGGGCCACACACAGTAGGGACAAGGCGTTTCCAGCTGGCATGTTCTCCAGATGGGATTTCTATTATGGAAAAACCCTGCAACAGGCTTTCCCGGCATCCCAGGAGATGCTTCCCACTGGGTTTTACTGCCTGAGGTGGCACCAGACACAGGACGGTGCTGGATGAAGGGGATCACAACCAGCTCCTCTGGGAGCAGCAGGATGGAGCAATGTCTCCAACCAAAATGTGCCCTGCTGGATTCTTCATCCCACAGGGCTCTGGGATGGGGCCTCTTGGGGCCCACTCTAGTTGGTGCAGGGTAGGGACCCCAGCCCAGCCCCTCAGCCAGTGCTGTGACCTCGGCAGAGCCTCGGGGGCAGTGCTGCCCTGTGCCACCGTCCCTGCTGTGAGAGATGCATTTTAGGCTCCAGAAATTCACTCACAGGGTCTGTGGGCACCACGGTTGCCCTCACCTCCAGGGTCCTTCCAGCATCCTCCCCATCTTGGCAGCTGGGGAGATGCTGGAAAACTTCTGTGCTCCTGCAAACGCCATGTCTGGCAGGGAGACCAAAGAAATCAGTGTCATTGATTTTTCCTCCCCTGCCTGCCTCAACCTGCTGCCTTGGAGGAGATTTTTTTTTTCCCTCCCCCTTGGTGCCTGGGGGCTCTGCAGGAGGTGGGCTGGGGGCAGGCTGGCATCCAGCAACTGGTGCTAGGAATTCAGAGTAGCCCCCTGGGCTGCTCCACAGGATCCCAGAGGGATAAACCCTGTTTTGGATGTTTTGGGGGGTCACTGGAGGATGTAAAGTGTTTGGGGAGCTCATCTTGAGATGCATTCAGTGTGGACCCTCACGAGCATGATGCTGGGGTCTCTCTGGCAGCTCTCTGAGCAACTCCATGCTATGCTGTGGTCCCTCAGAGAAGCAGATCAAAAAAAAAGCAGGGTCTCATCCCATCCTCTCCCTGGAAAGGCTGCAGGAGTGTGTCTGCCCAGGCCGGTTGCTCTGCCCCAGCCCCAGGCACCAGAGATGCTGAAAAGGGCATAAACCAGAGCAAGATGTGCTGCCTAAGGAGAGCGAGGGCTTCCCACAGCAGCCGGGATCTTCCCTGCAGCAGCCCTCCATGAGCGGTTTTCATCCATTAATTTCTCTAATTGCTTTTGGAAATCACAGCAGCGTTTTGTCTTCAGCAGCATCCCAGGGATGTGCTCAGCCAGGCTGGGGGGAGCGCTGTGCCTTGAAGGTGGCTTATGTGGATCCCCCACAGGCACTGCAAACCCAAACTCCTGCCCAGTGGGTCAAGGGATCCCATTCTCCTCAGGGAAATCGTCTTCCCAGGTGGAAAAAGCATGGGAGCCGCTGTGATACTGCGAGGTGGCAATACTCAGGGTTATGCCATCGTCCCTTGTAGACCCCTGGCATCACCCAGGGGATGATCCCCAGGAGGGACACAGGAGCCAGGACCCACCTGTGTGCCCCGGGGGTGTGACTGCTCTCCCTCCCTCCCTCCCAGGTTGTCCAGGATGGGCTCGGTGGGAGCCGAGCGCTTCAAGGAGCTGAGCCCGGCGGGGACGCCCGAGGGCAACGTGGTGATGAGCTTCAGCTTCGACAGCTACCAGCTGGAGGAGGACGAGCTGCAGAGGGGCAGCCAGGCCAAGGGTGTCCTCACCTTCATGGAGCCAGGTGAGGGCAGGCATGGCCCGACCTGACCACCAGCTGGGTTCCCTGCTGGGTTCCCACCCATTTAGGAGCTTCCTGGGATGGGTTTAATAGCCACAAATGGCCTGAAATGCCATAAAATTGGCCAACACCTTTTTTTGTCCCTCTTTGTACCCATGTGAGCCAACCAGCACATCCCGTGGCAGTGGGCTCTGCAGGCTGGCAAGGAGTTGAGTTTTGTGCCCTGGTTCTCCTGCCTGCAGCCTGCAGCTTCACCTTTCTCCATGCAGCAATCAGGGATGCTCCTGGGATTTACCCCAGCCCTGCTCCACATCCTGAAGCATCCCTGTCCACCTCCACACCCTCCTCGACCCCTCCTGCAGCACTGCCTGGCTCTCAGCTTATTCAGCTGCAATTAAAACTCAATCAACCCTTGAAACCCGGGTGTTTTCCTGCCTCCTGGGTCTCCCACTGAAATGTCTTTATTTAGGGAAGGAGTTTCTCAGGGCTGGGGCTGTCTATTTGTGAGATCTGCAAGGTGCTGGATTATGGAGGCACTTTTCATCACCCCAAGTCGGGGATCTGACACAGGTTTCGGGGGTGCAGCAGTGCCACTATCATGTCTTTTCTCTTTCTTTCCCCTTTTGGGGCAGCTTCTGAGGATCCCGAGCCCCAGGATCGATACCATGGGATTTATTTTGCCATGCTGCTGGCTGGGGTGGGATTCCTCCTGCCCTACAACAGCTTTATCACCGATGTGGATTACCTGCACCATAAATACCCAGGTAGGTCTCCAGCAGCTGTTGGACTTCCCTGCCACCCCAAACCGGGAGAGAGCTTGGCTGCACTTCCAGGGGAGCTGGATCCCTGCCCTCCCCCATCACCTGCCTCTCTGCAGGGACCTCCATTGTCTTCGACATGAGCCTCACCTACATCCTGGTGGCCCTGGTGGCCGTGATCCTCAACAACGCGCTGGTGGAGCTGCTGAGCCTGCACACCCGGATCTCCGTGGGTGAGTGGGGGTCCCTGCACCCCTGGCAGTGCTGTCCCTGTGCTGCCCCCCTGCCCACAGCCTCTGTCTCCCACCCACAGGCTATCTCTTTGCCCTGGGACCCCTGCTGTTCGTCAGCATCTGCGACGTCTGGCTGGAGCTCTTCAGCCGCAGGCAGGCCTACGCCATCAACCTGGTGGCTGTCGGGGTGGTGGCCTTTGGCTGCACAGGTATGTGGGAGAGCAGCTGGTGCTGGGACATGCACAGGTACAGGTGGGAAACGGCCTCATTCCAGAGCCATGGTCTCCTGGGACTACCTCTCGCCCTGATCCCTATAAGCTTGTATCCACTGCCAGGCACCACAGGGCTGGCCAGGGACACCAGCACCAAACTGTGCATTGGTCACCAACACCCCCGATTTGGGCCACCATAGTGGCTTCCCAAGCCCCACACCCGGTCGCTAATCGTGGTGGGAACAGACATGGTGGGGCATCCGGGGGGAAAAAAGCCTTCAGCTTTTGGGGCAGGGAGAATTTGGGAATGCTGCAGCTCCCAGTTGGCTCGGCATGTGGGCTCCCACTGAGGTTTCTTCCCCCTTCCCAATGTTTCGACTGCAGCAAAAATCTCTCCTTCTCCCCTCTTTGTATCTCTCCTGAAGTGCAGCAATCCAGTTTCTACGGCTACACGGGGCTGCTGCCCAAGCGATACACGCAGGGAGTGATGACAGGCGAGAGTAAGTACCCGTGTCCCCTGCCAGTGTCCACGTCCCACCACATGGGCTTGCTCAGGGGGACTCTCCTATGCCTTCTCCTGGGTCCCCACTGTCCCCAGCTGGGTTTCCAGCAGAGCAGGGACACCTCAGGGTGTTTAATGGTTTCTAAATCCCTGCCACACCAAGCTGGGGGTGGGGATGTCTGCCAGGAGCTGCCTTCATCACCCCAAAATCCCTGCTGGTAGCTCCTCCATGCCGGGAGGCATCACATCCAGGCACTGGGGGAATGATGGGGATCCCTGATGTGTGGGGCTCAGCAGGACCCGGCGCTGACAGGTCTCCCACACCCCCAGGCACCGCCGGGGTCATCATCTCGCTCAGCCGCATCTTCACCAAGCTGCTGCTGTCGGACGAGAAGGAGAACACCGTCATCTTCTTCTTCATCTCCATCGGCATGGAGCTGACCTGCTTCATCCTCCACCTCCTGGTGAAGCGCACCCGCTTCGTCCGCTACTACACGGAGGGCTCCCGCAAGGGCCTCCCCGAGACACGGGGGGCCGGCGACACCGGGACGGGCTACCGCGTCCACCACGACGTCACCTCCGAGGACGTCCGATTTGTAAGCCGAGGGTGGGTCTCCCCGCTGGCCCCTGGGGTCCCGCTCACCACTGGAGCTCAGCACTGCTGTCCCCTGTCCCCCCAACCAGGAGAACCGGCAGCGGGGGCAGCCGAGCTCCCCCCGGGGCAGCCCGGGCCCCGAAGCTGAGCTGGCTGGCAGCGGCACCTACATGCGCTTCGACGTCCCTCGGCCCAAAATCAAGAGGAGCTGGCCCAGCTTCCGAGGTGGGTGGGGGGCTCGGGGGGTAAGCCAGGCCCACGGGGTGGGTTTGCAGCATTTTGTGGGGTGGAATTGGTGATTGGTGATGAAGAGTTATGGGGAAGGATCATCCCCAAAGCTGGAGAGGGACTTTTGACAAGGGCATGGAGTGACAGAACAAGGGGGAATGGCTTCAAACTGTCAAGAGTGCAGGGTAAGGTTGGATGTTGGGAAGGAATTCTTCCCTGTGAGGCCCTGGCACGGGTTGCCCAGAGAAGCTGTTGCTGTCCCATCCCTGGAAGGGTTCACGGCCAGGTTGGATGGGGCTTGGAGCAACCAGAGATAGTGGAAGGTGTCCCTGCCCGTGGCAGGGGGTGGAATGAGATGGTCTTTAAGGTCCCTTCCAACTCAAACCATTCTAGGATTCTATGATACCTTTCCTAAACTCATCTGTGGAAGCCACCCCTGGGGGTCAGACGAGGCTTTCAGGCTCTGCAAGGGGAGGGCTGCAGTTCTGGCTGATCTGTGCTGCCTGTCCCTGCCAGACATGCTGCTCTACCGCTACGTCGTGTCCCGGCTCATCTGGGCCTACATGCTCTCCATCGCCATGACCTACTTCATCACGCTGTGCCTCTTTCCCGGGCTGGAGTCGGAGATCCACAACTGCACTCTGGGGGAATGGCTCCCCATCCTCATCATGGCCATCTTCAACCTCTCTGATTTCGTCGGCAAGGTAGGAGAGAGGCCAGCACCAGCACAGGGAGGCTCTGTCCTCCTCCTGTGTCCTCTTTCTAAACCACTTGGTTCCACCAAGGGTTATCTCCACCCCATGGCTATCTGACCATGAGGCTGCTCTTCAGCATGGCTGAGGCCGGGCTCCTGCAGCGGTTGGTCTTTCCACCATCTCATCTCCTTGCTCATTTTGGGCACCTTCTTGCCCTCCCCAGCCCCCCTACCCCCCACACATAGTCTCTCCCCCTCACTGCAGATCCTGGCTGCCCTGCCCTACGACTGGAGAGGGACCCACCTCCTCGTCTACTCCTGCCTCCGCGTGGTCTTCATCCCCCTCTTCATCATGTGTGTCTACCCCAATGGGCAGCCCACCTTCGGCCACCCTGCCTGGCCCTGCATCTTCTCCCTCCTCATGGGCATCACCAACGGCTACTTTGGCAGTGTCCCCATGATCCTGGCCGCAGGAAAAGTGAGCCCGGAGCAGCGGGAGCTGGCAGGTAGGACCTAGTCCTCACTGGGATCCCAGGTGGGGTGGCCAGAGCACCCTGACACCCTCTGTCCCTTCCCACAGGGAACACCATGACCGTGTCCTACATGACAGGCTTGACGCTGGGCTCGGCCGTGGCGTATTTTGCCTACAGCCTCACCAGTACCTCCCACAGCACCTGTTTCTACACCGAAACCTCCAACGGCTCCTTCACCTTGGGGTACTGAGCCCTGGGGCGGGGGGGACAAGATGGGACCTGTTTCCCACCGTTGTCCCCACCGCCCCACTTGGCCCATGTCTCTCCTCTGGGACAGGGTGGACAGGGACTGGCATCCTGTGGGCACAGGGCCGTGGCATTCCAGAAAGGCCCGTGCTGCCCAGACAGGCACTGCACAGGACCAATTCTTGGGGTGACATTCCTCCCACCCCAGAGGACAGTCCTGTTGTTTTTGGGGGGATCCCCATCAGAGATGTGCAGCTCCCCCAGTGGACGCTGGGGATCTTCCGTTTGAGCCAAGCCATTGCCAGGAGGAAGAAAATACTGCCAAATCCCAAAGGGAATAGGACCAGTGCTGGGGAAGAAGGTGATGGAGGGCTGGTGAGGAAGAAAAGGAGCAAGAGAAGAAGGAAACATTCCTTCAGTCCCTGGTGGCTCCAGGAAGGTTGGTCTCGTCTTTTCATTGATGGTGCTGCAGGTTTTCACCAAGAATGGTTTGAAATCCCAATCCATCTCTAAACATGCCAATCGCTGTGTAAAAGAGCCAATTCAGTTCTGCTGGTTGAGAAAAAAATTATTCTTTTTTTTGATTGTGTCTTGTTTTGCACCCCCCATAACTGCAGGAGAGGCAGGGTCTTGCCTCTCCCCCACCCCACACTGTGAATCTGCCCCATTACAATGGGGCGGGGGGGGGTCCCCAAGGCTACAGCACTGCCAGTGCCACCCACAGGCCACTGCTGAGCTTTGAGATTTATTGCAAGGGACATAAGTGAAGCTGATTAAATGATTAAATGTCTTTGCAATGATGGCTGGTCCTTACTTGCATGCCACTGGCACTTGGCTGCTGGTGACGGGCTGGGCTGGCAAACACACACAAGATGATGCTGCTGCCTGCCCCATGGGGTCTTGGGGTGCCTCTTGTGTTGCTCCTCAGCTCCAGGGTCCCCTTTGTCACCTGGGGTGGTTGGACTTGTCACCGGGTCCCATTGGACCCCTGCCAGCCTGCAAACTGCTGCGGGCAGCATGTGGGAGAGGGAATGGGCCAAGAGGAGCAGAAAGGATCTGGAGAAGGTGCCAACACCACTTTTTGGGACTGGCTGCACCTCGCTGTGCCAGGAGCTGGCGGGTGCCCCCTCCCAGGGAAGCAAGCCCAAGGAGGCGGTGAGTGCCAGGCTTGGCACCCCAACTTGGCCCCCCCAGCACCGGAGGGTCTTGCCGTGCCAAGCTCCCCGCTGGCTGAGGTGCAGCTCACACCAAAAAGAGCAAATCCAGCATTTCATCCTCAACACAAGGTGCCATGAGTGTGGTGGCCCGGGAAGGACTCACACCTCCTGCTCACAGACCCCATCCAGCAGAGACCTCTGCTCAGGGGCCCCATCCTGTCACCACATCACAGGGACGGGTTCTCCCCAGAAAAGCCACACTGGCACCTGGGTTGGGTCTTTTCCCAAGACAGGGGCTGAGCCAAAAAGTGATCGTTGCCACCAAGGGGGGAAAACCCCACGGTCAGGACAAGCGAGACAAAGAAAGATGCTTCGCTGGGTTGCTTTTTTTCAATTAATTTTTTTTTTTTTATGAAAAAAGATCACACGGAGTTCTCCAACAAACAGAATGCCAAAAAAATTGTTTTAAACAAAACATAAACAAAACAAAACAAAAAAGACAAAAACCTGGCTCTCCTTTCCTCTCGATTGTCTGAAATATCCTTGTGTTCCATAGAAGGCAGTGGGTTTTAAGTGCTTTCTATTTAACATTAGCATAAAATCTCTCTCGCGCGCTCTCTCTCGCTCTTTAAAATATGCTCACACAATTTGCTTCTAGAAGTACAGTACACTTTGAGCGTGGGGGGGTGTGCCTGTTCCCAGATCATTTACAATCACAATCCAACAGGAAATAAAAAATAATATTCTAAACGTCAGACTGTGTTCATTTCTGCCGTTGTGGGTTTTTTTCTTTTTTTTCCTTTTTTATAATTTCATAATTTTTTTCACAGTTTTAAAAAGTTTATATTTATATATATATATTTATATTTATATTTATAATTAAAAAGTTGAATCCATTTAAAGACTTATAATACAGGAGGGCTAAAGAGTCTTTTGGTACATTAAAACTGTACAGGCTAGAACCGTTCACTGTCCGCCGTGCCGAGGCGCCGGTGGCCCGGGGTGGAGATGGTACGAGCTCAGCACCATGTGGTTTGTTTAAAGGACGAGGGGTAACTCTGCAGGGGTGTCCCTCTCCCCTGAGCCCTGGCCTCCAGTCTCTGGTACACAGCTGGTACCAGGGCGGAGAGTTTCCAATCTGTCCTTGGCTTAAGCGTCTCCCCACCGGAGCCTGGGCCGAGCCGGGCCCCGCTCCGCGTCCCAGCGATCTGTAGTGCGAGTCGGTAGTTGCAAAGATCAGTGCGTCTCTTGGAGTTTTGTTTTAAGTGCAAGGATGGTGCATCGTTCTCCTCTGGTTCTCCTCCAGTGTTCCCTCTGGGCAGGTGTAAAACCCTGGAGCAGCGGTGGTGGTGCCACGGGTCCGGCGTGTGCCCAGTGGGAGCGAGACAGTGGGTGAGCATCTCCGTGGGGAGTCAGGCCTGCTGGATGGAGCAAGCTGGGCGGTCCCCTCCCTGAGCCCAAGGTGGCAGCAGGGCTCTGGCTGTGGGAACACCGAAGGCAGGCACAGCTGGGATCACACACTGTCCCCATTCCCTTCAAATGATGGGCAAAGGCTTCCCAGCAGCTCCACGTCTCTGCTCAGGCAAGGCATGGAGGCTAAAGGGGGGTGAGGGATGCCGGAATCCAATGGCCTGTGGTCTCTTCTCCTCCAAGCACTGAGCAGCAGCAGTTTTTCCCAGTCGTTTCCTGCCCCTTCACTGCACACTCCAAGTTCTTTGTTTGCCAAGTGTCACCCCCCTCACCACGAGCTTGTTCCCCCCAGCACCTTTCCAGGGCAGGAGGAACAGAGAGCGATGGAAAGAGAGTTCAGACTGTTTGTTCGAGGCAGTGGGAAGGCAGCATCCCAGACTGGGTGTTGGCTCCTCTTCCACCTGGTTCCTCCCATCCCGGTGAATCTCTTCTGCTGGGGCCAGCCCTGCCCCACCCGTGCTCCATGCTGCCAGAGGGGCCTCCAGGGAAAGGGAACCGCAAAAAGGCGCTGAGAGGATCGAGACGAGGCGCTGAGAGAGACTCATCTCCTTTCTCTTTCACCCTGTCCTTCCTAAAGGGTCATGCGAAACTAAGCAGGAAAGGGAATATAAGGACGGAGAGGAGCGCACGTGGAAGGTCCTTCCACGCACGGGCGGCTTCCGAGTTACTGACGGGGGCAAATGACACAAAAGGGATCCCTCCTGCCGGGGGGGTCCCGCTGGTGAAATGATCACGAGACCCATGTGCTTTCCTGGACCAAAAGGAGGAAGGGAGAAGTTGGTCAAGTGTCACCTTACTTAAAGCCACTTCCAGAAGAGCCTTGGGCGTTCAAGCACCACCACCACACCCAAGGGCATCTTCCCCAAGTCCTGTAACTGCTTCCCCAACCCCTTTCTTCAGCCCTCTCCTTCCTCCTCGCGTCTCTCGCGCTCTCCTGTCTGTAGTGTGACACAGAAATGAGCATTGAAAGAAACAATCATGTCGTCTGAACAGGCACGTCCTCAGGTTTGTCCCGTCCCTCCCAGGGGGTGGCACGTGTCCCCTGGGCGGTCAGCAGATGACAGGGACCCCGTCGGTGTTGAAGATCATGCCCGTGGTGGGCTCGTAGGTCCCTGCAAGGTAGTAGAGGTCCTCACTGTCCTGGTATTTCTTCGTCTTTAGCATCTGCTCATACTGATCCAGACCAACAACAAGACACTTGTGTGAGATGGTCTGGACATCGTTCTCATCCACGTGAGAGGACTGGTAGAGGGCTCGCTGCACAGCAGGAACAGAAGGAAGCAGGTGGGAAGAAAAGGAGAAATTAGATCTCACAGCAGTAACAGCATCGTCTTCAACATGTAGGAAAAACACCCATCACAACAGGACAGGGCTCTGCTCACACTCAAGAACTTCTCACTCATCCCAACAGCCAGCCCAGGGGAGGGACAATGAGAATCTGCACCAGCCTATGGGCAGCCTGGACACAATCCATCCAGCCCGCTGAGCCTGAGCCCTGGCTTTCACTCAGCTCCCACCAAGGGGAATGCTGCAGCTGCCAAGCACATGTATAGGGGAACGTGAAGGCCAGGAGTCATCCTTGTCATCCTCACTTCAAGGGTACAAATGCAAAGATGGGTGCTGGATACCAGTCCACTGTTCCTACCCACATCCAGCACTTGCAGCTACTCCCACCCTCCCAGAAAACATCATCCCAAGCCCTGGACACTGCAGACTCTGCTGAGGCAAAGAGCAAGAGCCAGAGAAGTTTGGGGGGCATTTCCCCAGCACCATTTGTTACAGGGTGCCTAGCATTCCCTCCCCACCTTTCCCCAGCCAGACCAACCTCCATAAAGTCCTTCCTCTGGTTGGATGCCTGCAAAGCTGTGGACAGACTCCTGCCTGATTTCTGATCCCAGCGCTGTGCCCAAGAAGGAAAGAGGAAAGAGAAATGAAAAGCAGGTGAATTAGTTGTTTTTCTACGCCAGCACCTCCTGCCCATCTCACGTGCCTTTGGAACTTCAACTCCCGCCCACAGCCACTGGGAATAAAACCTAAGAGCCTGTTATAAACAAAGCACATGTGTGCAAAATTCAGTGTTTCTGCGCACCAGGCCAGTCACTATTACACTGTAAAGATTTGATCTGGCTCTTGACATTCTTTTTGGACCAACACAGAAGTCTTTATTTCCTATTAGGATAAAACCCACCGCTCCCCTGTTCAAGGGCAAACACCAAGCTAGTCCACACCACAGGCAGCCCCCACAACATCAAAGGATGGGGCCACCCCCATCAGGGTATCAGTAAGAAACTGGGCCTGGGGTGTTTTCCTCATCCTTGGAAAGAAACAAAAGGGAGCAAGGAGCTTTGCAGCCCTCTCAGCAAAGGAGACCAGCCTACCTTGCCTTCGTTGAGTTTCTTCCCAGGGTTGGTTTCTTCTGGGTGATAGAACCATTTGACCCGGACCACCATGTTGTTCCCCCAGGACTCCCACATGCTCTGGATCCGGCCGATGTAGGGGAGGTTGGGGCGGCCGGCAGAGAGGAAAACGGCACAGTCTCCGATGCGGATTATCTCCTTGCCCCGGACGATGGCCTTGTAGAACAGCTTCCTGGCCTTCCCTTTCATTCCACGTCTCTGCCAAGAGAGGATTGCGCAGGTGAGCAGCCAGGGACCACCCAGGTTTTCCCCAACCACAACTGCTTGCCCTGTCCCACGTGCACCCCTTTGGTGTTGGCAGGGCCACAGTATTCCCACAGGAACTGGGGCAGAGGGACATGCCATGCAGGATGGCTCCCCTAGACACAGCTAAGGCCAACCCCAATCTCCTGCAAACTGGAGACCTTGGCTGAGACCTTACCTGCGTGGGTTTCCCGAACCACTTCCACAGTTGCCGTGCAGGGAGGAAAGCGGCGATCTTGGGCCTGTTCTCCACGGACGGCAGGCGCTGGCGCTTGGCCAGCTCCTTGGTGGTGGGCAGGTGGATGCCCTCGCGTTTCTTGGGCCTGCTCTTGTTGCCGCTCTGCGGCGGCGCCGGCTGCGGCACCGGCTGCTGCGCCGGCTGCTTCTGGCTCTGCGGGTGGGAGGACGCGCGGGATTTCCCCGCCTGCTTGGTTTGCTTGGGCGGGAGGGTTTGCTGCACCGAGGAACTCGGCTGGGCCTCGGCTACTTCGTCGTCAGAGCTGCAGGAGGAATCTTCATCCGTAGTGGAGGAGGAGGAAGAGCTGGAACTCGATGAAGAAGAGGTCGATGAGGTGGAGGAAGAGGAGGAAGAGGAAGATGAAGAGGAGCTGCTGCTAGAAGAGGAAGAGGAGGAAGAATTGGAGGAAGAGAGAGGGGTGGATGCTCTTGAGCTGGCTGAACTGCTGTCCTGGGCTTCCCCTCGGTTCTTCTCAGCCTCCTCTTCTCCCTCTGACTCCGAGCTGCTGTCGCTGCTGTTGCTCTCAGACTCTTCCACTGCTGCTGGAGCTGCTGCCTTTTCTTCCTGGTCCTTTGAGGCAGTGAGGCTTTCCACTGAGCCATCAAACTTTCCTCCAAAGCTGGCAGGAGAAGGGTCTCCCTCAGCCACTTTGGCTCGGGAAGATTTCTGCTTGCCCTCCACACTCACTGCAGCGGAATAGCCCAGCCCCAGGAGACTCTTCCCATCTCTGCGACTGGCCAGGTTTGAGTCCTCCAGCATCCTCATCGCCTCCTTCATCTTCTTTGTCTTTGGAGACATCACGCCCTCATGGTCCAGCTTGATCAGGATTTCGCTGTCATGCTTCCTCTGAGCCTTGACCACGGTGCCAAACTCCTGTGTCTCTTCTGTGGGCCGCCCTTTCTTGGCCTTGGCTTTCGACCCTGAAGCCTCACTGGAGCTGAAGGCTGCCAGTGTTCCTGGGAGGTCACTGTAGGGTTCTGCACCAAGGATGCTGCCAAACACAGCAGGCTGATAAGTGGGCTGGGGGGGGCTGTGCAGCTTTGTGGAGATCTTCATTTTGCTGGCTTTTGACCGCTTTTCCTCCGTGGGAGCAGGAGAGCCTCCAGTCGGCAACGGTTGCGATTTTCTTGACCCCTTCATGCTTGGCTTGCCCAAGCAGGTTGGCTTCTCTGGGACTGAGGAGGTAACAGGTGAGGACTCACCCTGATCCTTCTCTTCAGGCAAGGCAGCCTCTTCTGCAGAAGGGAGGAAACACAAAGACATGATGTTATCCATCCAGATGGGCTTTATTAGCTCAGATTCAACCAGACACCAATGCTGACCCATCTCTGGCCAAATGTGGCTTGTTCCTGCCTGCTCAGGTACCCCAAAGGGACACAGGT